CGGCGCAGGAGAGGTTGCTGTGCTCTGGCAAGCCGAACCCCGGGGGGACGTTGGAGTTTTCCGTTGCCGTTGGGCTGCGTTTTGTTGACGTGACGGGTGTTTTGCTGCTGACAGTGAGCAGGCAGCTGGGCAGAGGTGCCTGCTGTGTCGTGCAAGGAGCCGGGCAGAGACCTCTTGCCCTGCCCGGGGCATCCTGGGGCAGCCCATCGCCCGGCGGGTTTCAGGCCTCGATGTGAACACGTGCAAAGAGCACGCAAAAACCATCCAGCCTTTTCCCAGGGCTGTTGAATTGCCCCTTGTCTGCGACCTCCGGGAACGCTTTAGGCTGCGCAGGAGCGGTGGGGTGCGAGCCGTCGGCCTGGGAGGGTCCTTCCCACATCCTACATGGGGCAGAGCAAGGCGGAGGACAGCCTGCGGGGCTGTGCCGTCATCCCGGGGCTTTGGAGGGAGAAAAGGGGGCTTGTGACAGTCTTGATCCAAGGCACCCACCCGGGCATCCACGACCCTTTCCCAGTCTGCTTCACCCGCACCTTTCGCCGCCAAGATCTGGCCATTTGCTGCTTCATTGCCGTAGGGCAGCCCCGGCCGGCGCGGCAGTGACCCAGCCTCCTCGGGCGCCTTTGGAGAGACCTTTCCCAACCCCGCAGTGACACGGGGCCGGGTTTGCAGCCTCGCTGCTGGGATGTCTTCTCCTGGTGCCCGTGAGGCTGGGGCAGGTCCTTGCTCCATCCCTCCTGCCTCGATCTGCCGATGTCTCTCCGCAGCTTGATCTGACAACCGTAACTGGGTTTGTTGTGGGTTTTTTACAGCATTGACCGTCAGATTCATCACCAGGAGATTCATTGGAGACTACGACCCGACCCTGGGTAGGTAACGTCCTTTTCCTTGTTGCCTTCGCTGCTGCCACTGGCTCAGCCTGGAGACTCTGGTGAACACAGCACCGCTGCCAGCAGAGCCAACCCTGCTCCCAGACTCCTTGTATTTGCTCCTCTTCCTCCTCGACCAGAGTGGCAGTGGTCAGAGCCACCAGCCATCGTGGCACCTCCCTTGGCTCTCGTGTCCCTTTTTCCTTTTCTGTTGTTTTGTTAAGGCAAAACCCGCTGGGGCGAGCCCTCGGCTCCCTCAGCCTTCAGCAGTCTGCTGGGACGGGGCTTTTAAGGGGAAGGGAGTATCTAAGCCACTGGAGCAGTGGCTGGTGCCTTCCTGTCTTCTATGGGTTTTTTATTTTGCATTGGGTTTTGAGGGTTTTGTGGGCACTGAAGTCGTGTCCCTGCTGAAGGATCCCAGAAATGACCTGGCTGTGCCCGACTCCCGCCGGGAAGGGAAACTGGGGACGTCTCCATGTTGCCCCAACCCAGCTGGCTCACAGGGGACCCAAGGGAAAGGCTTGGTTTGCAAAACAACCCCGCACTCGCCCCGGCTGCTCTTTACATCCCCGCTCCTCGCTTGTCATAGGGAGCGATGCTTTTTTTCCCTGGAGCATGGTTTGGTTTTCCTCTCACCTGCTGCTGCTCCCTCCCGTCAGGCTTGTGATAAAATACAGAGATCGGCAGGGAGCGTCCCTGGTGCTTCCCCGTGCCGGAGGAGCAGGAAGGTGCCGGGTTTATCCCCTCGACAGCCGAGCCAAGCGGGTTTCTGCCCCGCCGTGCGGTGGCACACGAACCCCGCGGTGCTCCATCTGCAGGAGCGAGGCGTCCCGCCGGGCGTGCTGCGCCCGGAGCGGCTGCGAAGCGAAGTGCCGCCTGGTTTTATTGCCTGATGACACCAGCGGAGCTCGAAGCAGCTTTTGTGCTGGAAGAGCCGCCCAGATCCGCGCTCGCAGCCGCTTTTGTGGCTTTGTTTGAAAGGAGCCGCTGCCCCGCTGCGTCCGGGTAGTCCAACGCCGGCCGGGCAGAGGCTGGGTGAGCGCGGGAGCAGGGTCTCAAAACAGAACCCAGCTTTTCCTGCCCTCCTGCTGAGCCCCTCTTCCTCTCCAGAAGCACCACTCCATGACCCCTTTTTGCTCCGCCGCTTCCGTCACCGTTGCCTGTTTATTTCCAGCAAGGCGAAAGCCGGCTGGGTGCTGGCTGGGGGGCTCAGCTGCCCGTCGGAGATGCTGGGCTCGACGCCGTGGGCGCAGGGCTGCCCTCCCCCAGCGTGGGGAGACAGGCTGAGGACCACTTCAAGATGTGGCCTCAAAACAGAGGCCACAGGGGCTGTAGTTTGCAGCAGAAAATCGACTTCTCCAGCACGGCTTGCATCGAGGCCGCCTGGGTTGTCGTTTGCTACCCTGGGGGGGCTTCTCTCACACACGCTTTTCTGTCCGTCCCCCTCCAGAAATGATTTACAGACACACGGCCGTCATCGACGGGGAGATGGTGCACTTCGAGATCCTCGACACGGCAGGACAGGTGAGCGCACGCCGTTTCGTGGCCATTGGGGAAATGCGACTTGCCACGGAGGGCAATCCCTGCTCTTCCGCCGGCTTTGATCTGTGCTATCCAAAATAACGATCAAGGTGTGTTTAGCCCGGAAAAAGGATGTTTTGGAGATGTTTATGTCTCTCTAACATCAGTCACAGTCAGCTAAATATTTCCCCCTTCCCCGTACCGGCGTGTGGCGCAGCTCTGCTCCCCACGTCGCTGGAGCATCCTGAGGCAGGGAGAGAGCCCGAGGGGGCAGGAGGGTGCTGGGTCGGAGGAGCCACCGAGCGCCGGGAGTG